TTGAAAATTTTGTATAAAAAAGTGAAGAATGCCAGCCACCCATTAAATATGTGAAGTTTGCGGCCTTGGGGCTGTATCAGTTCGTGTAGCACAACAATGGTTTACTCGCTTCCGTTCTGGAAATTTTGATGTGAAAGATGCACCTCGCCATGGTACACCTATCGTTGAAAAATTCGATGAAATTATGGAAAAGTTTGAACCGGACCGTTACATAAGTAGCCATGACATCGCTAAGGAACTCAGCGTCCATCATCATAGGATTTTGAACCATTTAAAAAAGGTTGACTAAAAGAAGAAGATGTTTGGGTACCACATGAAGTATTTGTGAACAATTTAATGGACCGAATTAATATCTGCTATTCTTTGCTGAAACGAAACAAAATCGAGCCAATTCTGAAGCGAATGGTAACAGGAGACGAAAAGTGGATCAAATACAAAAATAATGTCTGAAAAAGATCATGGACCATTCGTGGTGAAGCTCCATAAATGGTCGAAAGGCCATGATTGGCCTCAAAGCTTATGCTGAGCATTTGCTGCGATTGGAAAGGAATCACCCACAATGAGCTGCTCCTGCCTGGACGAACGTTTGATTCTACATTTTACTGTCAACAACTGATGATATTGAAATAGGCAATCGAAAAAAAAACGACCAGAACCGATCAACATAAAGAGTCTCGTCTTCCATCAGGACAATACGCATTTTTTATGACTCGACAAAAACGGACTATCAGTTGCTTCCGCCAATGCAGAACTCTTTCAATGGAATAAAGTTGGCTTCAAGAGACGCCTGAGGAAATTACTTGTCGCAGTTTTTAGCCAAGAAACCAGAAAAATTTTAGACTGATGGAATAACGGCCCTAGCGAAAAAATGGCAAAATGTGGTTGACCAAAATAGAACACATTTGGTTCATTAAAATTCATTATATGTAAATATAAAAAAATAAGTTGAAGTTTGATAAGAAATACGAAAAGGCTTTTTCGACTACCCAATAATTGTTGATACATTATGATAACCCGCCTTAGAACTCATATAAATAACAAGCCATATGTATCTGAAGGAACTTATCTGGTTCTTCATTACTTGTTTAAAAATGCTTTTTCTTTCCAATTGGGTTTTAACATGCTATGAACTGCTTTAACATTTATTCGTTTTTAATTACGCAAACCAATATGTACTTCCATACTAACTTTCAGAACAAACTGACCGCAAGGAAGCTACTTTCAGTTATAAGAAAGCAAAAAATATTAGACAAGAAGTTGACAGAGAAAGTTTCGCGACAAACAGAATTCGACTTAATATATTAAAGCTGCTTCCAAATAATTTAGTGGTCATAAACAGCTTTTGATAGAGCCGAAGCAAAAGTAAAAAATAAAACAAAGAAAAACAGAAATCACACAAAATATTAAGCAAAAAATTTCCACTCATTTCATTTTCGTTTGCGTTTCGCTTTTTCTGTCGCAGCGCGAATTAAATTAAACTGCATATTTCATTCGCTGAACGACAGTACAGCTCATGTGTAATGAATAAATAGAGCGTCACTAATAGTGGAAGTTGACAGACAAAACGAACAAATGCAATAAATTTGTGCCGAAACAACGTGTAAATATGTGTATACAGACACACGTACTTGTTTACCAATACACAAATGAAATTGAAAGCGTTTACACAGCCGTGCAAATGCGCGTGTCGAGTGCTTTCCTGTGCAGACAATTCAAGAATCATTAATTAGAATTATTTCAGCGTACGCTGCCACATAAATAAGCTTATTATTTGAATACTGAGCCCAGTAGTAAATTATGTGGACTTAGGGCTGTGGTTTTGGTAGGTGTGTCATTTGCAGAAGACAATAAAAGGTATGAAAAAGGTTAACGAAGTTTGAGTAGCCTGCACAAATAAAGCAGTTTTTCATACAGCTACTTGATATTGAGTTAGTTTGTATCACAGCTATATGCTATAGTCATTCGATCTTAATAATATTTTCGGAGATTTTAGCCTTACCTGAGGTAATAATCCACGGCAAATTTGGTGGAGTGCACTCGTGAAATAAAAAAGTTTTGCATACAAGCACTTGACTCCCATTGTGCAGCTATACAAGCAGCTATTTGCTATAGTAGCCCGATTTAAATAATTTCTGCGAAGATTGTGGCTTTACCTTAGGCAACAATTTGTGCCAAATTTCTTGTAGATATTTTATCAAATAACACAGGTTTTCATACAACAACTTAATTTTGTTCATTCAGTTTGTATGGCAGATATATGATTTTGTGGTCCGATCTAAATGATTTCTTCGAAAATTGTGCAACTTCTTTAAAAAATAATCTGTGCTCAATTTCTTGAAGATATCTTTTCAAATGAGAGTGATTTCCATACAAGTACTTTATTTCGGCCATTTAATTTGTACGGCAGCTATATGCTTAAGTGGTCCGATATCGGCAATTCCGACAAATAAAATGCTCCTTGGGCAGAAAAAGACGCGTACAAATTTTCATATCGATATCTCAAAACCCAAGGAACTATTTCTTAAACACTTTCTGAAACACTTCCTCCAATTCAAATACTTGCAAACCACCTTCTCACCTTAAAATCCTGATAATTACCACCACTCTCACTTACGTCACCCAGTCACTACAGATACGTTCCTTCAACTGCTAGGCAACCACACATACCGCGCAAGGTCGTGTTCTTCCTCCAATACCAAGCCTTACAAATTCAAACACAAAATAATTGCTATAATACTTATTTGTACGTGTATTTTATGCCACTACTTGTACTTACACAACAAAAACTTGTTCACTCCACATTTAATATGTGTATGTGTAAGAAGCAGAATTGAAATGGTAATAGCAAATCAATAAGAAGATTTGTAAATTGGTACGCAATAAGTAGGGCAAGTTGGCAATATCGCACGCACAGTGCGTGTCACTTAATCTATTTGTGAAGCACATTACCTGGCTTGTGTGCCGAGTTGTTAGCAATCGTTTTTATGTCGAGCGCTTCAAAAGTTTTGGTTGCGTGTTACTCATACGCCCCGTGGTGTGTGATGCGTTGTGCGTTTAGGCGGTTTTTAAGCTGTAATCTGTTGTTTTTTCTTTTTTCTTGTAAAGGTGTGCCAAATGACAACGGCATTCATTTAGTTAATCAATATTGGCACACATATATACAAGAATTGGTCTATATACCATTCAGWGAAGGCATGCCTCACATTTCATTTGTATGTATTTTATGTTAGGAAACAACAAGGCGAAATATTTTATTTGTCTCTTTTAAATGATATTTAAATCTGAGAAACTAGTTCAAGAGTTTTCGGTTGGAAATTTGCATAAATTAATTCCAGCGTTTCACCATCATCCATACATGCTCTGCATTCCCCCGAATCGACTTTTCCCATTTCTTAAGGTGGAATCTGGAAGAGTTCGTGTCCTTTGATGATCTCTAGAAGCTTCCTTTTACCTAGAAATAGGAACTTTTTGGTCTATATACAATCAGATCTTAAGGTTAGGTGTCCTTTTGATGATCCCTAAGCTGTTATTAAGCTTTCTTTTGCCTACAAGTTAGAAGTTATTGGTTTATGCACAATCAAAACAACGCAAAAGTTACTTTGTGATATGTTYTGTACTGCTTATGTCTCAAACCTGAGGTGTTCCTCTTGAGTCCATTGCTTTAGGCAAACTTTGAAGGAATAGAATGGCCTGGGGCAGCTTGAGGAATTGTATTTCTGCTTGCTTTTGACTAACTCGTCTGTTTTTCATTTACTTCTATTCTCATATGAGCTAAAACACAGATATTACCCTGATTACTTGCATAATCGAACTTAAGGGGCTATACCAGTGTGACGCATGAAAAATTAGGCGTTTTTCGAGATTTTTTTTTTAAGAGAAAATACGCGATTGAATATTTTAATCTTCTTTGAACGTAATAAGGCATATTTTCAGTTATTTTAGATTTTTTTTTTTTACAAAAACGTTGAAAAATGACGGCGATATGGGCTGTCTGCGGAACAAAAAATATTAAAAATTTTATTGAAAAATATTGTCTACACATTGACCTAAGATCTTTGAAAAATATTAAAAATTAACAAAATTGCGTAATTTGGCAAAAAAAAAAAAATCGTTCTTTTAGGTTTTTTTTTAAGTGTCACAATGGTATGAGAAGTAGTAGTGGTGCACGGACAGCCTCAACTTATTATTACAGATGGCATTGACTTTTTGGCCAAAATTGGAACGAAAATCAGTCCTTAGTCACCGTAATCGCCGAATGTGGATTCCTGCGACTGGTTTTCTTTTTTACTTAACGCAGTCCGCTTCAAATTTGATCASAGGTATATGGCGTAACGCAGGAAATCATATATACTTTGACAGCAGCAAATTTTCCTACTTTTTTATTATTACTAACTAGGACAATTTAAAATATACATTAAAATATTAGAAAACCTTTACAAGAAAYATTTTTTTAATAAAACCTTAAAGCATGGGCAAATACCAGCACATACTGCAACTAAACGCTTGTGGTGAGACACACACATAAATTCAGTAAAATTAATCATTTACTTCATTAACTGAAGCCTAGAGCAAGAGCTCCAGCTGTGATGACTGTAAGCCCATGCAACATACCCACTTATCCACCAATATTTATATGCCACCTAGCACCTGATACACCCTCTTGAGCGCCCGCTTAACTTCAAGACTCATAAAGAATTTCACGACATAATTCCATGTGCCACACTTTATGCAAATCACAATGAACATCACTTAACATAACAAAGCGCTATTTCGGTGTTCTCAACTGCCACCCGCTTACCCCAAACCAGCGCTTACGCATTCACATTCCACGTAAATTCAACCACTCCAGTCATTTGCGCGCCATAAGTTTCTGCGCGACTTGAATGACGGCTCAATTGGTGGCACAACAATCATACACAGTACTTGCGCCCGCCACTCGCGGGCCGCAAAGTGAATTTTCAATAAACAAATAAATAGGAAATTGCGCAAAGTGTACTCACCACACCATCGCCAATGTGATGCACGGTGCAGGGTATATGTGCGGACGCGCCAATTTGCGTCGTCACAATTGTGGAGTTCTCCGTGCCGAAGTACATGGGCGCGGCATAGATCTCCTCCAAGCCGGCGTTGGCGCTCTCGGCTGAGCCGTCTAGCGTCGCCTCGCCGAGACTGTTGTGCTCAAGCCCACCAACACCACCACCACTAGCACCGCCGCCGAGCCCCACGCCAATTACTTTGTGCAGAGGACGCGCCAAGTGCTGTAGCTGTTGCTGTTGCTGCTGTTGTTGATGTTGATGGGTGTGCCGCTGTTGGTGTCGCTCATCAATTACATTTGCCGAATCGAAACTTGTTATGCTACTCCCACTTGTTTGATGGTATGGTTGTTGTAGATTCAGCTGCTGTTGCTGTTGTTGCTGCTGATGTTGGTGTTGGTGATACGATGAGGACGCCGAAATGGAAGAGGGCGGATAAGGCATATCTGATGAAGATGTGAAGGCGGCGCTGTAGCTGCCGTGGAAAGTGCCATGACCGGGGGCTGGCTGGGCGGGCGGCTGCGGCGCAGCTCCGTTATAATTGCTCGTCACAATGGGACCGGAAATGCCGGCTGACGCGGGCGAAATAATTAAATTTTGATTTATATTTCGGTGTAGTTCATTATTAATGTTGTCCTGCGTAACGTACGATGTGAGACCTGCAAAAGAGAGCGTAGCCATGAAAAAAGACTGAGTGAGTGAGTGAGCATAATGAATAGGCATAGAATAATAAATAAATGTTTGCGGAAATTTGACCAAGTACTTAAGTCAAATGAATATGACAAGTGAAGAATTATATCGAAATATATTAATTAAAGCATTTATGTGTATTTGATGGTTGGTCATGCTTTTGCCGCTCATGTTGATTTGCTGCTGACTCGCACGCACGCACATTACAATTTAATTGCCATGTTTATTGTTGCCGTGCCGTGGGTGGTCCAAACTAAAGATTGCTTTTAGCATAAATTTAGCAATTAATTTTGTGCGACTTCTCCTAATCCAGCGCTTTACTGCCGACACTGCGTGAGATTTTGTAAGGAAACCGTCATACGCAGTTGACTCGCCAAAATAATGCATACTTATAGTTTGCTATGGAGCATAAGCATTACTTAAGTGAATATCGTTTATAATTACTTCCGGTTGTCAAATAAACCAGTATACGAAACGCTATCATATGGAAGCGGGAACCTTTTAAATATGTAAGAAAAACAAGAAAAAAAGGTTATACCCTAATATACCCTTCACAGGTGCATTTCTTTTTTTTTCATGATATTTACCCAAAGTTGCCCATATATGAACTTGGTTTTGATGGGTCGGTTTGTATGGCAGTCCGACCTTAACAATTGCGAATCTTGGGCAATAATCAATGCTAAATTTCAAGAAATAATTTTGATTTTCAATTTGTATGGCAGGTTTTGTTATCCGATCTGCAAAATTTCTTCAACTATTGTAGCGTTGCCTTAGAGAATAAATACCTCAAATTTGCAGAATATATCTCGTTAACTGAAAAAGTCTCCAATGCAAACATTTAACTCCGACCGTTCAGTTTGTATGGAAGCCATATGTTATAGTTAACCGATCTAAACAATTTTTTCAGAGATTACATTGTTGTCTTAGAAAATAACTTGTGTCAACTTTAGTGAAGATACATTGTCAAATGTGAAAGTTTTCCATACAAGAACTTGATTCCGATCGTTCAGTTTATATGGCAGCTATATGTTATAGTAGTCCGATATCGACAGTTCCGATAAGTGAGTAGCTTCTTGAAGAGAAAATGGTGTTTGCAAAATTTCAAAACGATATCTTAAAAACTGAGGGCCTAGTTCGTATATATACAGACAGACGGACAGACAGACAGACGGACATGGCTAAATCGAATCAGCTCARCATACTGATCATTTATGTATATACTTTATAGGGTCTCCGACGCTTTCTTCTGGGTGTTACAAACTTTGTGACAAAATTAATATACCCTGTTCAGGGTATATATATATTTTTGCAGATTATTCAGACTGCGAAGAGCGAACTTATTGAGAAGCTGCCATCTGTTTAAAGTTTAATTCAATGAAAGTCCAATAAAAATGTTAAAATAATAAACATTCAAAATACATAAATGGTTTGGCTAAAATTTTTTGGACAGAGTTGCCACCTGTTTCATTTCTTATGCGAAAAATTACATGATAAGGAAACATTAACAAAGCAATATGGGCATAAAACAGTGTATAATAAAAATTTATTTATTTTTTGGAAAAGAGTTGCCACCTAAATGCAAATATTAAATCACCAAAAAAAATTGAAACAATAGAAATAGAACAAACTGGGCATGAAATAGAGTTCAACAAAAAATTATTTTTTGCAGAAAGGTTGCCACCTGTTTAAAAATACTAAATCGGTAAAATAAAAGAAAGAATTTTAATAAAAGCATTTGCAGATCTAGTAAGGTTAAGAAAAATATTTTTTAAATTTTGGCAAACCTTGCCACTAATATAATTAAAATAAAAGAAAATATTAAATCAAGTGTTAAAAATATCGTCCCAATTGCTTTAATGTTAATTGGTCGCTGTTGAAACATAAAGTGCCTTATTCTTACAAAACACTTGAGTTCATTCCATAGAGACATCGCAATGAAGAAAAGTATTTGAGGGATGTTTGCAGCAAATAAACACAATCTAAGGAAGCTTTATCACGAATATCTCGTTCCAAATATAATTAATTTATGTGCCAAAAAGGCTTAAACTCCTACAAATTAAACACTATAAAGCCGTGTTTGCTTGGGAATTTTTATTGACATATACATATATACTTATACTAGTATACGAGTATATGTATTTAACCCTTTAAGCACCTCCACACAAATGCGCTTAAACTTAAGCCCAGCCCCTTCACGCCACATTAACATGGCAAATTAAACATTTCTTATTGCCAGTTCCGGCACTTTCGCCTCTGTGTTAATGTGATTATAATGTCAGCCGAAATTATTCACACATACCCACAGCTGTCATGCCACTTTTTCGCAAACTGCGCAGTCAGCAAGGCAGTTGAAAAGGGGCCAAGCAGCAAGTGGGCTATCTGCTGGAAAGCGCCCACTTTGTTTTTAGCATAAACATTTAATTTTTAGCACCTAACATCTTCACCGACGCTCACCCACACACCCCACCCCTTCACCTTTACTATATATGATTTATGTACATGTGAGCGCACACGAGCTGCTTTGCTGTGCTAATATGCATGTAAACCCGGCTTTATGTTCGTGTTTTTTTATTATAGTAGCATGTGTGTATGTATAAATTTATGTGCTCTTTCTGAATTTAAGTGTGTGCAACATTATGTTTATGCTAATTTTCTCACAGCTTTTGACGCTGTCTCTGCCGCAGCCTCTGCTGCTAAGAGCACAACTCCCATGCATATGTTTGCAGAAGCGCGCTTGTGTGGCTGTGTATCAACCTGCCACACAGGATTCATAAGAACGGAACTTTTCATGCATATCCGCCTTCAAATTCATTTGCTTAACATATGCATATGTATGTGTTAAGCTTTTGTGTGGCCTGGTGGTTTTGGCTAAGTCAGGTTATTAAAGTATTTTGGTAGACCAGGCGTATGAGTAATTATATTAGTTTTTTCCTGTGTGGGGATTTTTGGGTAACAATTTATTTAAAAGTGTTATGCTGGTCCACTGCTTTGTTGTTTATTTACTTCAATATATTGTTGATATTGGGAGTTGTAAGAAGAAGCAGTAACTTATAAAATGATAGTGGTGAAAACAAACAATTGGATTTTTTATTTTATTATCGTGAGAAATCGATATGAAATTTTGTATATCTACTTTTCTCTCCATGAAACTATATATATGTTGGTACTGACAATATCGGATCATGATAGCACATGGCCAACATACAAGCTATAGGACCAAAATTAAGGTCGTCTATGGAAAACTTCTACATTTAAACATATATATATATATATTTGGCACGAATTATTTCCTAACATAACAAAGTAATATTCGAAGAAATTGTTCAGATCAGACTACTATACATACATACATAGTAAACAGCAAAAACTAAGTTCTTATGCGGAGAACTTTTTTAGTTAACGAAATATTTTCAGCAAATTTGGCACATATCATTATCACAAAAAAAAAAAAACAAAAACAAAAATAAAAAAAAACTAGGTAATATTTTAAAATATTTTGTACATCACACCGCTATTGTTTATAGCCGTCATACATAATAAACGGCAAAAATTAAGTTCTTATATGGAAAACTTTTTTATTTAATAAGGTATCTTCAGGAAATTTGGCAATAATAATTGCTTTAGAGAATAGGGCAATACCTTAAGAAATTGTTCAGATCGAACAACTATAGCATATAGCTGTCAAAGATTTTTTTTATATCCAAAATAAAAAAAAAAAATTTTGTTGATAACTGATAGAAATCCATTAAATGCTTTCCCCTCTTTATAATTGGCTGCAATTTTAATTAAAATATCTACTGAAATATGCGTCCAATTTCATATTTTATATGAAAAGGTTAAAAAATACTTGACGTTTTTCTTAGTCAATTTTCTCATAAACTTACTAACAACGATAAGCCTTTGGGGAAATAATAACTGTATCAACTAAACTTTTACAAAATTTTTCACTTTTCGTTACATGCTCTATGTATGTATGTTCCTATGAGATATTAAAGTACATTCTACCTTTAATTATAGCACTTAGCTATGCTACAAAATATGATAAAATACTGTCTGATGGCTACATAAATTAACAAACGCCAACAACAGAAACAAAAAATTATGGTTTTACTGATAAATAAGGCTGGCTAATGAACATCCGCCCAACCGACATGCCGCACAACCAGTGACTCATAAATAAGACTAATAGGAAAATAATTACATTGCATGTAGTATAGTAGAATTTTACGTTTATACGTACATACTTTTTAACGCACATCAGCATTATGTATAACTATGGTGTCATAAATGTGCGTGTTAAAATTTTGTATGTGACACAGCTCAGTTAGTTCCGAATACACATATTCATATTGCTTTGTATTTTACAACCCACCGTATGTATCGCGCATATGGCATATACATATGTGCATTTATTGGTGTTTGTAGCATCAAAAATTTACAGAACGGTATTTTTGTTTAACACAGCTAATGGCTTGAAGCCGTAATTAGCCGAATTGACAGCGCTGATAGTACTTAATCAACCTAAAATTGGTCATCAGTTTGCTTTCTTTCAAAATAAGGGGGACTATTAGCATGGCTGACCTACATTTGTATTAACTGTAAGCCTTACTGCTAAACATTGTATATATTTAAATACGTGCATGCAGGCCATTAATTGAGACGACTTTGTGGGCAAGCCGATAATATAGTAATAAGGTATAATAACATGACCGAGTATCAGTCAATTTTGAGCAAATTAGTATATAATTTATTAGTTGCTTTACAACAACAGACACATAAAATTATATTTAAACGGTGAACGGGGTATACTAAAAAAGTCACGGAGTTTGTAACACTCGAAAACTGAGGAGTGCCTATTAAGTATGTATAAAGAGTAATCCATTTCGATGTTCCCTACTTGTTTAGAGGAAGAACATGGCAGCTTGCCACGACTCACGCATGTTCTGTCAGAAAAAGGCTTTTGAAAAAG